TTCCCATGTTATTACGGTGTATCCATATAAATGGCCCACCCTGTACACTTACCATGTGTGACCCTGGAAGTATGACCTCATTTACCAGAAGAAATTTGCAGACAAAATAAACAATTGCTTTGATTGTATTGTAATTATTTTCTGTTTTCTTACAGGTGATGATAAAGAGGTTAATGCATATAGAATCAAAGGAATGGTAACGTTTTCCACTTGAATGCTTATTTACCATTTAATAGTAGCACAACAGTTTTCTATAAAAGATAAATATTGTGAAATATGAAGCCTATGTTTAACCTCCTAGGACCTGGCATCCACATTTGTGGACATCACATTTTGGGTTGTCTAGACCTAAAAACACTAATTTTTCTCTACAAGGGCCTGATATCCACTTACGAGGACATTCTACTGCCACTGTTCTATTACAATTTAAAATGAATGTCCTCATATCTGGATCTCATTTTTGTCAGAAACAAAATGAGGTAAAAAAAAAAAAAAAAGGGTGGCTGTGGCTACAATGTAGCTTGCCATTACCAGCGTCTGAATGTGTGTGTGAATGGATGGATGACTGGTTGTGTAAAGCGCTTTGGGGTCCTTAGGGACTAACTAGTAAGGCGCTATACAAATACAAGCCGTTTACTACACAATCGATTATACACCTCTAACCATATATGGTTATATATTTCTACGCATAAATGACAATCAACAATATAAACCTGACAACAACTGCGCCTCCATCCCTGCAGGAGAACTGGGGAGGTCCCACACGGGGTGCCCACGGCCAAAGTGTGAGTTTTGCTGAGAACCAGGGGCAACGAGCACTCATCTCCGCCAGAGGCCAGTCAGTCTGTCACAGGCTGAGAACTAGACCCCTGGGCCCCAGGTCCCTAAAAACCACCCAACACCAGGCAAAGGCCCCTCTGAACAGGTCCAAGCCATCCCAGACCACCACCCCAAATAGAGTTGGTCAACGACCACACCAGAACATCCAGCCATGCACCTCAGAGCCAAAAAGTACCCAAATCGCAGGGAGGGGCAGCAGCGTCAAGCGGGCAGCGGTAGGAATCAATTTTAAATAATAACTTATAAATTTTTGATAACAATTTGGTGGTACAGATATGTAAAGGTTTGTTACCAAGTAGGTATCTGTAGATTCAGATGATTGGATCTTGTATGATGGATTTCAGTTTCTGATATCCAAGAAATTTACTGTGGCTGATTCTAGTTCTTGAAACAAAATAAAGTTTCCATTTTGTGTAACATGCTCTTTATCCCTTTCTCATGCCATGATTAAAAATTTTGTATTTCCTTTTTCTGACAAATATCCAAATTGTTTCAAATGGCTGTTAGTTTACACTGGATCAGTGAAGACTTAGTTATTTTTCAAAATTCCCATCAGGCTGTCGGAGAGGTGTTTATGCTATGGCTTTTAAAGCAGTCATGACGCTTTATACTGGAACTTATGAAATGTCTAATAACCTTGGTTTAATCCAAGATCATCCTCTACTGGCTTTAGCAATAGAATATGACTCAACCATACCAGGTCTGAGAGCTTTGCAGAAAAATTCATACCTAGATATCTGATGTTACCCAACCATCAGATACCATCAGGGTGGTGGAGGTTCTGAAAATTACAAGTCAGAGGCAAAACTGTTGATTAACTTCAGCTGATGGAGTAGTTTGATGTGAATGAGAACTCACCTAAAAGTGTGAAAAGAGAGGTTTGTGAGCTTCTAAGGAAAAGTAATACATTACAGGCTTATCTTATAGTCTGTATTTTCAGTTTGAATTTCTTTAATATTTACATTTTTTCAGATTACTGCTGTTAGTGATTCAATGAAAATGACAAAAAGTGAGGGGAAAAGTGGGCAGCCCTGTCTGGTGCACTTCTGTAGGTTGAAGCTTTGATCCAATTAAAATTAATGAATCAATTTCATTATTCTAATGTTTAATTGATTATTTTTCTTTTAAAGTAAAATGTATGCTAATAAATAAAGATGTTGGACTGTTGTAACTGAAAGCAGGAGCAGCAAATATTATTTTTTCCTAATATTAGCTGTGATTTTTGTTATTATTAGTTATTATTAACTATGCCATTATGAAATGTTGACATATAACTATATATATGTATAAGTATATACAACTGCGCATCAATCACAGCAGGAGAAGCGGGGAGGCCCCAAACGGCGCACCCAGAGCCAAAGTATGAGAGTTGCTGAGTACCAGAGGCAACGGGCACTCATCTCTGCCAGAGGTCAGTTAGCCTATCACGAGCTGAGAACCGGGCCCCTGGGCCCAAGATCCCTAAAAACCACCCAACACCAGGCAAAGGACCCATTGAACAAGTTCAAGCCATCCTTGACCACCACCCGCAATAGAGCATGTCAACGACCACACCAGAACATCCAGCCATGCACCTCAGAGCCAAAAAGTACCCGCATCCCAGGGAAGGGCAGGAGTGTCCAGCGGGCAGTGGTAGGAATCAATTTTAACTATAAAATAAATTATACATTTTTGATAACTATTTGGGGGTAAAGATATGTAAAAATTCTGTTACCAAGTAGTTTTTTTGTTGATTTAGTTGATTGGAATTAAATGTTTCCTGTATGATGGATTTCAGTTGATGATATTCTAGCAGTAATTGCACCTTTCTTTTTTCAACATATTTATTAAATTTTTTCATAGTCAATGAAACAAACTAACAAAAACTGAAAGGCAAACTGCTCCTCCAATTATACTCATGGCACCCTATACCCACAAAATACATCCTATGCAGAGAAAATGACAAGCATAGGAAAAAAATGCCCATATAAAAAAGATAACAAAAAATCACTACATTATGTACATCAAACTGGTTAACTGTGCAATATCTAAGTTATTCACCCAGTTCACAAAGTTTACAAAGTACTTTTCGCTCTTTTTTTTCACTGTCTGAGAGCAGTTCTTTTCCTTTTTCAACATATTTATTTAATACTTGCATAGTCAATGAAACAAACTAACAGCCTAGAAGTAATAAATGCAGGAATTGGTTTAGTATAACCACTCTGAGACAGAATGATTCTAATTTTAGAGATACTGCGTAAATGGCAGAAAACAGTCCGACATATGTGTTCAATATGTGCACTGAAGGATATATCCTGGTCAAAAATGACTGCACGATGAATGGAGATCAAGTCTGATCGTTCTGAATTTAAGTGACCATTCTGAAAAAAATGGGGCACTCGACCAAAACTGTTTATGAAACTCTGCTGGAAAACCATCTGGACCTGAAGCTTTATTGTTTTTGGAGTTGCTGTAGGGCTTCATGGAATTCAGACACTGAAAGAGGTGAATCCAGAGCCACAATCGGTTCGTCATTTAGTTTTGGTAGATTTATATAGTTAAGAAATTCTTCAATGGCAGCATCAGCTGGATTAATCCATGTTGAATATAAATCTTCATAAAGGTCTTTAAAATATTTAATTATTTGTTATGGATCATGAGTAATGTTTCCAGTCAAATCCTTCATAGAAGAGCTGTTTTTTCTTTATTTACCTTTAACTGGTCAGCAAGGAGTTTTCCAGATTTGTTACCATGTTCAAAGTTCTTCAAATGCAGCCTATTGATCAGAAATTGTTTTCTCTTGTTAATGCTTTCATTTAATTCTACTTTTAAATTTCTCAGATTGTTTAATATATGTTCTTATGGTGAGGCAGCATAGACAGCTTCTAATGATAAAATTTTTTGTTCTTTTTCTAATACAATGCTTTTTTTTTCCTTATGAGAACATTAAAATATTATTTTGCCTTGCATTACTAAAGCTACGTGTTCCTCCCACAATCCAAACTCATACATTATAGTAGGTTAATAGGTTATTCTAAATTGCAATTACATGAATAATGAGTTCACAGCGCTACATAAATGTAATTATATTTGCACCTTCAATGTTACAAATGCATAAATAACAATAAATAATAAAATAACAAACAAATCTGTTTACTCTGAGTTTAATCAGCTTAAACTTACTGACAGCTAAGGATTTTTTTGGGTGGGGGTTTTACCTTAAGGATTTATTCTTTGTGTTTTATGTTCTAAGCGTTTTAGAAGCGTAATTAATGTTGACTCAATATTGATAACTATAAATGTAAATTATTAAGTTTGCTTGTTTTTTATAAAATAGCAGTGAGGACAGAGTTTAGCAGTTTGTAACAGTTCCAGGATATTCCTCAAGAAAATATATAAAAATTATTATGGCTGTTTGTCTGAGGTAAACATGATATTGTTTAATAACATGTTTGTTTCTCTAAAAACAAGCATTACTCAAGTGTTGCTTCTTGAAATGCTATCAAGGTTTAATCATCCATTTATGAATGTCAGATTGTCTGCCTATACACTCTAAATAAATCTGTAGTTCAAAATTCAGTATACACATGTATGATGAGGAAATTCTTGGCCTGGATCAAAATTGACGAAAACCACCCTGTGATGGATCAGGTCAGTTATTGTTCAAATATGAACTGCATGTAAGGGTAAAAAAAGATTTTAGTTACACACTCTGACTTTTATGAAGTCTGACAATAAGGAGTAGGAATGCAGAAGTTTAGTAATGCCTCAGATCACTTGGTTATAATAATGAGCTGCTTTGAGCAGTCAATAAGACTAGAAATGTATTATAGTATATAAATGTCAGTCAAATCCATTTTAAAATAGTTTACTTTCTTCTCAATAAAATACAAAGCAAGACCTTTTCATTCTGTTGTCATATAGTCAATGGTATTAACCTGATAAGCTAAATTTCAGGGTAATTTTTTTTACTTCGCAGAGTGGCCCAGTGGATGAACGCAATGATGACCAGGAAAGAAAACCAGGAGATAAATTTTATGAATCAGCCAAAACTGATGACAACGGTAACATTTTTCATTATACAGTAACACAAAAAGCAAAAAATATATCAACAGCTATGTTCATAACTTTGAAAGGATTTGCAGGAACACGCACTGAATATAATGCATATCTGGTTCATGCTATCCTGCAGAAACAACAGATGGTTACACGAGTGGAAACAAGAAGGTAGGAGAATATGTGTTTATTCAAAAGATCAAAATGAGTATTTACTCTGTTCTGCCATATGTTGTATGTAATTTAGTTACATATGATACCTCTTTATTTGTTGTGTGTAGAAGCCAAGTCCGGCAGAAACTGAGATACTGCTTGACAGACTTCACCTTCAAGATAAATTTAAGCAGAAGTTGTCACCAGCAGATTTTCTTCAAATACGTCCACCTGGGAAACAGATGGACCATGTAACGTCTGAGAAAGATGTAGCTCACACTTTTCTCCATAGGCTGATAATGTTGGACTACGGGGCCAGATATATTGCTGTAAGACCAGACAGTCCTGAGGTGACCACAGAGTCTGACAACACTGAGATAGATTACAGTGATCTGGAGGATTTCTTGAAAACCACTGCAGACACAAATGAGAAAGAGAAGGCTCGTGTGCATCCAATGGACATTCAGATGGCAGTATTTCACTGCTCAGACAGCTTCCTGAAACAGATGATGATTACAAAGCTCTCTCAGTGTCAGTATGCCTTACCTTTACTTGTTCCTGACCCAGTCACAAAGGAGATTCAGTTTCCTCTGTGGACTTTCAGAGAAATAACAAAAACCTGGAAGGTAACTCAAATTAAAGATAACTCAAAGATCATCATCAAGAAGAGTGTTCCAGTCTACAAAGCTGAAACACCCTTGGTGTCATTTTTCCGCCTGGGTTCTTTGTCAGTGTCTAAATCTCAGCTGATGAACACTTTGATCAACAACCGTCACGACACCTTCTTCCACAGAAACTGCCCAGGAAGCACCAAGTCTCGCTATCTGATGGATGGTGTGGCAGAGATTGCCTGGTACTGCCCTGCTGGAAAACCCAATGATGCCTTCAATGACTGCATTGCCTTCTGTAATCTCCATGGTGATGCTCTGTTGATTGAAAAACAGCGTGACATACTGATTGAAAAATCTTCAATCAATGTTTTTCTTTTGGCATCTCTGCAAAGCAATGAAGAAAGTCGATCACTCATATCATCTCTTTTTCAGTCTGATAAGCCTCTCATTTGTCTCACAGTTAATGACAGTTGTGATGCTGTTAAGATAAAAAATGGAAATTACATAATGGGTCTTAAAGACAAAAACCACTCAGATGTATGTGAAGACCTGAAAAGGATCATTACAGAAGTTTTGTCTTCTCTTGATGGTTCCAGATTGAAACCATCCTTCCAGCTTGAAACCATGGCTGAGCTCTCTGGAATCAGAGTGGATGAAACTGACCCAGCCTGTCAAAGAGGGAAATCTGCTGCTATGGAAATAGTCGATCTGCTTAAAAAGGATAACATGGATGTCTCAAAGATCAAAGATGAATTTCTCCCTTGTCAAGGCCAACTGTGGCATCAGTGGAGCAAAATACACAGAGAACTGTTTCAACTCAGAGGAAACATTGAAATGGAGAAAAGCAGAAAGGAACAAAAACTGATGAAAATACGTCAGAAACAATGTGCTGCTTCCTGCAGTGAACTGATGAAGTTGTTCACTGGAAGTCTCTCATTAATGAGAGAAAAACAAACAGGCAGAGAGTATTTCCTAAAATGGACTCAGATCTTTGTAGATGTCCTTTCAACAGATGATCTTTCTTCAGTTTTTCAAAGTTATGATGAAAAGTGGTCTGAGGTCTTGGCTTTGAAGAACAAACGTGACAAAGCAGATCTGTTATTAAAAACACAAACTGAACTTAAAGACATATCGAAGAAACTTCAGTCTGTAACCTTTGGTTTGGAGCACATCTTCAGAGAAATGGGACAGATCTATGAAGCCCATAAAACAACACAAAGAGGGAGCAGACACTCTGACTGGTCTAAATACCCTGAGCTGGCTGCACAGCTGATGATATCAGGACACCCGATGGAGCTGATGGATGGTGATGCAGGTCATGTGCCTTTAACATGGATCTCCAGTCTTTTAGAAGAAGTCATCAAGAAACTGGGGGACCAGAGAGTTTTTGTGTTGTCAGTTTTGGGCGTACAAAGCAGTGGAAAATCAACAATGCTGAACACCATGTTTGGGCTGCAGTTTGCAGTGAGTGCTGGCAGGTGCACCAAAGGTGCCTTCATGCAGCTGCTCAAAGTATCAGAGGAGATGAAGAAAGACTTGAAGTTTGACTATGTTCTAGTGGTGGACACTGAAGGACTGTGTGCCCTTGAGTTAGAAGGTAACAATCTTCATCATGACAATGAACTGGCAACATTTGTTGTTGGTCTGGGAAACTTGACACTGATCAACATCTTTGGAGAGAATCCTTCTGATATGCAGGACATTCTGCAGATTGTTGTTCAGGCTTTCGTGAGGATGAAGGGAGTTAAACTTTCTCCCAGTTGTGTGTTTGTTCACCAGAATGTCACAGATGTTGCAGCAGCAGGGAGAAACATGGATGGAAAGAGACATCTGCAGGAAAAACTGGACCAGATGACCAAACTAGGAGCCAAAGAGGAAGTTTGTGATGCAGAGTGCTTCAGTGATGTCATTGATTTTGATTTTCAGAAAGATGTGAAATACTGTGCCCAGCTGTGGGAGGGAAATCCACCCATGGCTCCTCCAAATCCAGGTTACAGTGAGAGCATCCAGGAAGTGAAGAACACCATCCTCTCTAAAGCTTCAGAGTCTGCTGGGATCACTCTCTCACAGTTCAAAACCAAAATTCACGACCTGTGGACTGCACTTCTGACTAAAAGTTTTATTTTCAGTTTTAAAAACACACTTGAAATTTCAGTGTACAGAAAACTGGAAGTCTCGTATGGGAACTGGACCTGGACCCTGAGGAGCAACATGTTGACCATTGAAAACCAACTTCATAACAGAATTGAAAATGGAAAACTTGATGAGGTTGAGCAGTCTTATCTTTTCAGAGAAACAAGCAAAAAATATGAAGAAGTCAGAAAAGAAATGACAAAATACTTTGAGGATGACAAAGACAGAGAGATCTTGATTCAGTGGAGAGGACGATTTGAAATCAAAATTAAGGAATTTCATGATGAACAAGTGAACAAAGTGAAAAGAAAACTGGACAGAGTTATCCAGCAGAAGAAAGCTTGTAAAAAGCTGGATGAGAATAAATCAGAGTTTGAGAACAAACTTCTGCAGAACACCAAAAAGCTCGCTCATAAACTGAAGGATAAGGCCAAAGATGAAGAAGAGCTTCAAAGACAGTTCAACTCTGTTTGGAGCAGCTGGGTTACTGAATTAACAGCAGATATAAAACCTGTTGAAGACATCAACTTGGAACAAGATCAGTTAACGATCCTTCAAGAACTTGGTTTTGAGCTACCTCTCACAGATGAAAGTAAAAGAAGTGGCAGATACAAGAAAATATCAGAGGTTGGTGATTATTCAGGTTATATGAAGACAGGTGGTAATCTGTTGGTTGACAGTTACAACAAATATAAAGCAAGAGGTGCTTTTTCCCATGAAGAACAAGAACAGTGTCAACTTCTGCACGACAAATGTTTCAAGTGATCGCAGTTTTTGCCTTAAGGGTGATTCAGAGAAATACATTTCCTACAAACCGTACAAAACTGCTGGTCCACCGTATGATACCTGGAGAATCACTCCTGATGGGTCTAAACTGGCATATTGGAAATGGTTTGTTTGTCAATTTCAAACACAACTGGAAGAGCACTATGGGAAAAAGTTCCAGGGCAGTGGAGCTATTCCAGATCAATGGAAAGATATATCTAAAGAAGAAGCCATTAAAAGTCTGGATGAAATGTGTTAATGATCAAAGAAACTGCAAATCTGCAGAAAATTATGTTATTGTTTTCATGTAATAACTCATGAATACAGCTGTGACAGTCTGATTTTGTCTGAGTGAGAAAAAGGAAAGTCTGTAAACTATTAACATGAAGAAGATGATAAGATTAATTTTAAGTGAAAAAATATAAAAGGAAAGACAAGTCACATTCTTATTGTTGCGTCCATCTAGACTTTCAGTGTTTTTCAGATAAAACATTTTTAACCTAATTTTGTTAATTGTGATATTGTTTCCCTATTTATAACAAAATATTTTGTTTATCAAATACTCAAAAAATGTAAAGAAACAAGTGCAAAAACTGCTGTCATACAAGATATATATGTATATATATATATATATAGACCCATATATATATAGATCTATAGATCTATATATATATAGATAGATATATAGATAGATATATAGATCTATATATCTATCTATATATATCTTTCTTAAGGAAGAGATACAGAAAGGATTTAAATCCATCACTGAGAAGACGAGCAGCCTCTCCCTGGATATGCTGAATGAATCCAGGCAGAAGCCTGAAGAAATCCTCATAGATCAACTTTGTAACTGCTGCTGGGTAACATGTCCATTCTGTGCAGCTGTTTGTACCAACACCATGAAAGATCACAGTCCTGATGACCACAGCACTCCTTTTCATCGACCTGATGGGATAATAGGATCTCACTATGTACAAACTAAAGTCCTCAGCATCAGTTTCTGAACAACAATTGTTACAAGTGAAGAAGGTCTTCACCCTAGCTCAGAGAAATACATTCCCTACAAACAGTACAAAACTGCTGGTCCACCGTATGATACCTGGAGAATCACTCCTGATGGGACTAAACTGGCATATTGGAAATGGTTTGTTTGTCAATTTCAAACGAAACTGCAAAATCACTATGGGTTCATGTTCCAGGGCAGTGTATTATATTCCATATATCTGGAATGTATATATTCCAGATATATGGAAAGATATATCTAAAGAAGAAGCCCTTAAAAGTCTGGATGAAATGTTCTAATGAGCCAAAGAAACTGCAAATCGGCTGAAAATTATGTTATTGTTTTCATCTAATAACTGTGACAGTCTGATTTTGTCTGAGTGACAAAAAGGAAATTCTATAAATTATTAACATGAAGATGATGTTATGAGTGACTATAAGTTAATTCACAAAAAAATAGCAAGTGAAAAACAAAAGTCACATTCTCAATGTTTCGTCCATCTAGGCTTTCAGAGTGTTTTCCAGATAAATACATTTTTACCTAATTTTGTTAATTAGCATATCATTCACCTGTTTATAACAAAGATTTTTTATTTATCAAATAGTCAAAAAATGTAAGGAAACTAAATCTAAAAACTGCTGTCAAACAAGTGTTAACACTCTTTGATCATTAATTTCAAACATTGCATCTGAAACCACAACAAAAACATCGTCTTTTGTAATTGAGTGGTGTAATTTTCAGTTTGATTTTAGATTAAATTTACTCTCACAGATATATGATTTGAGATCTGTTTGACTGTCTTATGCTAATTTCATCTAAACCTGTTATATCCACACTGAATTTTGTTTAACTCGACTTTTATTTCATCTCAGCTCTTTTTTTGTTTGCATTTGCAAATGTTTAGCGTGTTTAGTCAAGTGAAAAAAGACAGCTGTCAACAGTTTGAACAACTTTTTGTTTTCTATGTCTTAACTAATAAAATAGTTTATGCTTCATCTCATTTGAATTGCTTGATTTTTTTTCATTGTGTACAACATTGAATGCAGAATAGTCCATCTAATTGCCAAAATCTGCTAACCTTATATTTCATAAATTGCACTGACATGGAGCAGCAACAAATTCATCAACAACTGATAAAAAACAGATGAAACAAACCTGACAGCTGTCTGCTAAACTAAGTCAACTAACTGTTTGTGTGATCAGATTTGTAAATTTGCAAATAAGTTTCACTTACCTTCTTTTCATGTGTGACTTTTGCTACACTTCTGCCGCGGTGGATCAGCAAATGTGTGAGGAGAGTTGTTTGTAAATAAGTTAAGTCAGTGCATTAGGCCTGAGCTCAGGCTCACAAACTCAGGCATTCTCTCAGGCTGTACCTGTACCATAAGTTTCCAAGTACCTACCACTAGATGGCGCAGTACTGAGCAATTTAAGTGTGAACTTTGTAGCAGTGGTTGTGCTGATACAACCACTGTTACAGACTACAATGGATTTATCATGTGCTTGCTGTAAGTTTGTGTTAATGGGGTTTTTAGTGGCTGTCACTGGTAATTCATATTGGAGCTGCATTAACTGAAACAGTTAACTAAAAAAACTCCCTCTGTGAGTGTCTCACAGGATCTGATCTCCAACTAGAAGCCAGAGAGATGCGCTTTAAACTCACTGTTTAACCTTAACACAATGTGTTCAAAATCACTTTGAGCTTGCACAGCTCTGGCTCACCATACAGCTGCAACAGCACAAATGGCAGGCTGGAAAATACTCAAATATGGTTGCAGTAAAAATGTCAATGTACCCTCTTTGTTACATCACATTGTGAAATGTGAATAAGCAGTTTAACTGTGTACAAATCTCAGGAGCAGCCTGCACAGCACAGGCTGGACCCTTTAATATGCTTCAGGCAGGTCACTGGAAGGTCGGTGATTCCTCTGTGACCTTCTCATCTTGACCCTTTAAAACTTCTGCCCTGATCCCAAACATCCACAAACTAAAACCTGTGCACATTTAGCTTCTTTTACAGGAACACAGTACTGACACATTAATATATAATGTAAACACAGTGACCACAAAAAGGGGGGAAATTAAGTGAAGTAAGAGAATTAAAAGGAAAAAAAGAACACATGAGACCAGCATATGGATGATATAGTATGAGCTGATCATGTTTACTTAATTAGTTGTTTCCTTACTTTTCCACACTAAGCAGCAGAAAGAACTGAGATTTTCAGAGTTCTTTATATATTTATGCATTTGCACACACATGCACGTGTGCACATTCACACACAGACAACTTCAACCCTCAAATACAGTATAAGGTTACATAGTTAATATGTGTTAAATTACATGTTAACACCTACAACCAAAATGGTTTTATTAATCTTTCTATTTTTCTCATTTTTTTTTCCCGCTTTCTGTATTTTTGCTGCTTCGTTGTCGATACCTCGTTAATACCTTTATACCTATTTCACACCTCCTACATCAACACTATTGCGTAAGAAAAAGATGCTCACACAATGGTATAGAAATGGGAATTTAAAAAGCACACACACAAATGTTGAAAGGCCATTCAACGTTCTAGCTTTAAAATGACCATTTAAAAAATTTTTGTAAACATGATTTTTATACTGGTTTAATACTGTCATATATTTTAGGGAGGCAGACCCATTCATTAGCATTAGCAAACTCATCTCTTTGTCAACCCATCACTATTTCATACAAGCATGTAACAAGTGAGGCATTTTAAATGCTTCATTAGAGGAAAGCACAAGTTAATACAGAGAAAAGTGTTTTCTGTAAATTTATCGCCAGATAAACCTGAGTAACATCATAAGATATTGTATCTGTGGTTAATCAGCAGGTCAGAGTCCTCAGTCCTACACAGCCTTGTGACCTACATGACTCAGTCTCTTTCTAATCTCCACGTCCTGTGGATGTCAAATGATGCAGGTCAGCAGAAGAAGTTCTCGGCCAGCTTCCTCATTCTTTTATTGTCAGTGGCCTTAAGGGGACGTGTAGGAACTGAATGAGATCGCTCTTCATCTTCAGGTTGCTCCTCTGTGATGGTGGCC